TTGTGGTTGCTGTAAAGGTGAACACTGCAACACTGATAATGGTTACCCATGGTGGACAGGGTTTGGTGGTGCTCCTGAGTTGAAACAAGCTTGGAAGCAGGAGTGGCATCCACTTCTGAAATAGCTTGCCTCTGGAAACCCTATGAGCCTGGAGAAAGGATGAAAGTTGTGCACGTGTGTCAAGGACTTTTGTTCATAGGGTAGCTATGAGTCGCCTACAACTGGATGGCACTTAACAACACCAACTTGGTGTTGTTATGTTCCATCAAGTCAGAATCGACCCACAGCTGACCCTCCAGCAGGTTTTCAGAGGCAGTTAATCCCATGGGAGGAGATTTCCCATTCTTCTCCCACAGAGTAACTGGTGACCTCAAACCACATGCCTTTGGGAATGCAGTGCCGTTTATAGTTATGTAAGTCTTATTTTAAAATATTCATAGATATAAACACCTAAGAAGATATGCACTTGAGAGCTGATTCCCCTCTTTACTAGATTTTTAAAAATATTTTTTATTGTGATTTTAACAAAAGTTTATAGAAAACTTCGATTTCCATTCATTCATTGCTGTACATTTTTCTTCCTACTCCCTCCAGTTCACTTTTCTCTTAAAAAAATTCATTTGTTAAAAAAAAATTCATTCGTTATTGCACAATTTTCTCCCTTCCCCACTCCCCAGTCATTTTGCTATGCATTCTTATAGATTTTTTTTTAAGCTTTATATTCTATTTAGTATAGGGATTTCCTAAAAATTCATGTAACTTGACCAACTGGAATATTTAGAGCACAGGTTTTTCTATGTAAGTGAATATTTCTGCTTAATTAGAAGTGCCATTTTTGAAAAATGTTTCTGAAGCAGAAATCTGTCAGAGAAAGGAAGCTCAAATATTTTCCACTAAACTGGGTGGAAAAAAAATTAAAAACTGTGCCCAGTTAGAACTGCAAAACCTTGCAAGATGAGGAAAAACAAGGAAGTCCTGTGAAGTGGCTGCCTCTCCCAGGTTTCTGTTAGTTAAATCCAGCAATTTCAGCTGATTACCTATTACACATTTTAGAGAGTCAGCATTAAATTTATTAAGTGCAATCTCATCCTTTCTTCTAGTTTATGATCCAAAAATGTATGAAGTAGAAAAGTGGTTGAGAATTCTGTTAATAAATTAGATCACCCTCCAGTGAGGTGGTGCCCCAGACGTTCCTGCTGCACTGTTGAGTTTGTTTGATCAGTTTGATGCCTGTTAAGATAGCTTATCTTACCTGATTTTATCTACCATTCCTATTTTGGTTGCCTAGTGGATAAGAAGTTGCTCTGCCAAGCCAAAATCAGGCAGTTTTTACCCACCAGCTGCCTCAATGGACAAAGATGGACAGTCTCCTTCTATGGAATTTACAATCTCTGAAAACTCACTGGAGGTTCAGCTGTGAGCTGGTTTCATCTCAAGGGCACATAACAACACAAACAACAATTATAGCTGACGTTCTTAGGCAAAATTCCTGTTTTACAGTTCATTTGAAGCAGTCTCAATTTTATTACTCAATTATATTAATTTTATTTTGGATGAAATGATACTTTGTCATGTTTAATCTCAAGGACTGATTGTTATTACAGATATTTCTTCTGAAAAAAAAAATCTTTCTTTTCCAATATTGTAGATGTAGTATTTTAGATGTTTTCAAGTGTTTAATTTACATATAATGTATCCTATTAAATTTATTCCCACTGCCATTGAATTGATTCTTGACCCACCAGCAATTTTCTGGGGTTGTAAAAGATTGCATCTCTCACAGGCAAGAGCTGGTAGTTTGAAACTACTGATTTTTTTTATTAGCAGCTCAACTTGTAATTAACTACACCCTAGAGTTCTTTTAAAATTTATAGTAGTTCATGTTATAACTAACTTCTTAGCCATTTCTCCATCTCCTTAAAAGGAAATTTTAGCTAAGAACACAAGCTAACACCTATTTGTCTTTGTGCACACAATTCAAAGGTGCCATAATAAAGGTGGATAAAATTGCCAAAGCTTTTTCTGTTTCTCACAAAATCAGTCTGTCCATGTACAGGGCCTGGAAGGTGGGTCTGGCCCATTTTTCAGTTTTTCCTTCAGCAGCACAAAGGCTTTGGTTTTAAGTCCTGTAGAAACCGATCAGCCAAGCTTAGCAGCCCCAGATAGTAACTCGGGACAAGATGGATAGATGGTGTTTGTAATCATTTAGACATTGTTGCTATTGTTAATGTGCCATCAAGTTGACTACAACTTAGGAGCAACAGATCTGAACCTTCCCCTCTCCTAAGCCATTCATACAGTCTCCACCTTGCTGGAGCCCATTCACTTCGTCAGTCCATCTTGTTGAAGGCCTTTCTCTCTTTCTCTGACTTTCTACCTTTTCTAGCATTTCTCTTTTTCCAAAGACTGTCTCCTTATGACAGCAGGCCCAGAGTACTGTGAGAGAAGATGTCACCAGCTTGGCTATGAGTAAATGAATGACTGAGACACTCCTTTTGCTCGCAAGGATGCAGAACATAAGCTTTGTGATGCCATTTAGCTAAGTTGTCTGATGAAACTAAGGTCTTAACCTAAACAACTAGGAAATGATTCTCACAAGTTGTTTTATTATGTCTGAGAACTCATAACCATACCTTTTACCAGCATAACTGTATGCAAATACCTATTTGTATGAATATATTCACATAAATACTTCTATCTGTGCACATACATGTACTCATCTGTTGTTGTGGTTATTAGGTGCCATTGAGTCAACTAGACTCATATAAACTACAGATCCTAGAAATGACAAATCTGAACCTTGTCTATCCTGAGTTCTCTTCATGATCTCTGATATGCTCAAGGCCATTGCCACATTTATTGTGACAGTCCGTCTGTTGAGAGTCTTCGCCTCTTTCTCTGACCCTCCACCTGTCCCAACATGATGTCTTTTTTCCAAAGTCTGGCCCTTCCTGACTACACTCTCAAGTGGGTAAAACAAGGTTGTTCACCAACTTTATTGTCTCTAAGGAGCAATCCAGTTACACTTCCTCCAAGACCAATTTGTTTGTTCCTTTGACAGCCCGTGGAATATTCAGTCCTCTCTCACACCACAATTCACAGGCGTCAGTTCTTCTGTCATCTTATTCATTGTCTAATTTTCAGATCAATAGGAAGTAATTAAATGCCTTAGTCTTTAAATTGACAGTGTTGCTCTTCAGTACGTCTTTTGACTGCTATTACACTGGTGTTGATTGTAGATTCAAATAAAATGAAACCCCTGATAAGTTCAATCTTTTCTCCATCTGTCATTTTGCTGCCTGTTGGTCCAGTGGTACGATATTTATGTTCTTGATGTTGAAATGTAAACCATATTGGAGGCTGTAGTCTTTCATCTTCTGCAGTAAGTGATTTAAATCTTCTTCACTTTCTGTAAGCAAGGCCGTGTCACTTAATACAGGCTGTTGATGAGTCTTCTTCTAATTCTGATACTCCGTTATTCTTCATAGTCCAGCTTCTCGAGCGATTTGCTGAGCATACAGATTGAACAGATATAGAAAAAGGATATGCCCCTGATGTACACCTTTCTTGTTTTTTAAATTATACACTGTTTGGTCTTTTGTTCTGTTTGGATAGCTGCTTCTTGGTCTGTGTGGAGGTTTTTTCTGAACATGACTAAATGTCTGGGATTCTCATTTTTCTCATTGTTAGCCATAATTAGTGTACATAATTTATACTGTAGATCATTTTTTATAGACAAAGTAGTGAATTTTAAAAGGTAATTTCCCTAGATGTTAAATGTAGTCTTCTTTAAAACATTTAAACATCTATTTAACGTGATTTCAAAGTAAAAACTTAAGTAGGTAGAATTTTGGTCACAGAAGTGGGAGTCATAAATTATTGTTGTTATATGCCGCTGAATCACCTGCGACCCATAGCGACCCTTTGTATAGCAGTTCTGAAGCCTCCCCTGTCCTGAGCTGGTCTCACTGATTCTGACACATCAACCTCCATTGCCCTAGTTATTGGATCAATCCATCTCATCCGGGATCTTCCTCTCCTGCACCGTTCCTTTACCCTTCCCAGCATGATGTCCTTCTCCAAGGACCAGTCCTTCCTGGTGACATGCTCAGAGTATGTGAGACAGAGCTTCAAAATTCTAGCCTCTAAGGAGAAACTTTTTGTTTTGTCAAACGAAGCTAGAATTTTTATTATATTACTTAATCACTAGTTTTTAGTACCAAGAGGGAATATATGTATAAGTATGCATGCACACACACAAGTATTAACTATAATGGAAATTTTTTAAATTATACAATAGTAATGAAAGTCTGTATCTGACATTCAGTCACAAACACTCTTTTTTAAAGTTCATAGTATAGAGAAGATAAGGATTCATTTAAAAAAATAAGCAGGACGCCACATCATACCTTAAAAAATTAAAATAACAGTATTATTAACCCTTTAATTCATATTTGAAGCTTTCTTTAAATGTTTTTAAAAGTTTGTTTGAATCAGAATCAGAACATCCCTAGATCAAAGTCAAGCTATCTCTTTAAATTTGTTTTTTATATATAGCTTCCCTACTTCCTGCCCCCCTTTTAATTGTATTTTATTTGTGGAAGAAATAGCCATTTGCCTACTTTCTAGATTTTTTTTTTTTAAATTGTAGTTGTGTGGGTGGCATGATTTAAATTGTTTTACTGCTTTTCTTTTTGTTTAAATAGGATACACCATTTCTTTATACTAGAAATAAATTTTTGTTTAAATGGGAAAATAATGCTCAATTTAGTTGTTAAAGGACATTGGATTCCAATGATTGTGGGGCATGAAAGGAATGACCTGAAGGTCATTCAATGTCAATGAATTTCATTGTTTGGATTAGTTTTAACTTTATATAATTTGTTGCCATCTGAAAATACTGCAAAACATGGAAGTATAAAATTATAGCAAGAGATCCAGAAGGTTGATTTTTATTCAAATGAAATCTTTTTAATTATTTTTTTCCATTTACAAAAAAGATACCAGGTGATCAGCACTCCCACGGACTTTTTTATGGTAATGGAATATGTGTCTGGTGGTGAATTGTTTGACTACATCTGTAAACATGGACGGGTAAGTAACATATTATTTCCTTCACTAAGGCACTAAGTTTTAAAAAGAGAAAACAATATTGGGGATAAGCAAACCATAGTTAACTTCAAAATGGGATTACATTATTATTATTATTATTATTGTTGTTGTTGTTGTTATGTGCCGTCGAGTCGCCTGTGACTCATAGCGACCGTATCTATGTACAACTATGTAAACTTCGCTCTGTCCTTTGCCAATCGCACCGTCTCTGACACTCCCATCCCAATTATCCCAGTCACTGAATCAATCCACCTCATAGAGGGCCTTCCTCTCCTGCGCTGTCCCTCCACCCTCCCAAGCATGATGTCCCTCTCTAAGGACCGGTCTCTCCTCACAACATGTCCAAAGTATGTTAGACGGAGCCTCAGAATTTTTGCCTCCAAGGAGCCATCCGGTTGAACCCTTTCCAGGACAAATCTGTTTGTTTTCCTAGCAGTCCATGGTATTCTCAATACTCTTCTCCAGCACCACAGCTCAAAGGCATCAATTCTCCTTCTATCCTCCTTGGTCATTGTCCAACTTTCTGATGCATAACAAGTGATTGGGAAGACCAAAGCCTGTAGCACCTTAGTCTCCAGAGAGACACCATTGCTCTTATTATTTTCTTTGAGTAAAGGTTTACAAATCATCTTGGTTTTTCATTCATTCATACTTTTCGAATAACATTAATGATGCTTGATGAATAAAATTAATTATAATGTCTATCAACCCCTCATTTATAATACCTTTCCCTTCCCTCAACTAGTCAGCTTATTATTTTTTTCCAACTTATTAATTTTTTTTCCAACTTATTAATTTTTATACTCCTCTCCCTCTCTTCTCATGTCTGTTAACCTTCCAGGAATGATTCTGTCTGTGTATAAATCTTTCCTTAGCTTTTGTAATAGTGATCTTACACCATAATTGTCCTTCTGTGACTGATTTATGTCACTGTTTATTCTAGATTCATCCATGTTGTGCAATTTCACAAATTCTTTTTTTTTATTATTTTTTTTAATATTTTCTTTTTTTTTTTTTTTTCTGAACTGGGCCTGCACATCATCCTAGTGGAAATGTTCAGGAAGCAACTGGATTTGCAAGCCTGGGGCAAACGGAGAGAGCTAGGCTAGAGGTGGCAGCTAATTTCACAAATTCTTAATCTTTTCTCGGTAATGCATGCTACTCCAAATTTGAATGTGCCATAATATCTTTATTCAGTAATCCATCAGTGGATTCTTGGGTTGTTTCCAGCTCTTTACTATTGTAAATAATGCTTTAGTAACTGTGTTAGTTTGTGTTGCAGTTATTTATTTAGGATATATACTCATTTTGGGGATTAGTGGTTTAAATGGTATTTCTATTTTCTGCTTTCTGAGAAAGCTCTGAACTACTTTCCATACTAGCTGCACCATTTTGCTTTCCCACCAGCTGTATATGAATGTTCCGGTCTCTCCACACACTAGCTAGCATTAGTTTTTTGCTGTCCTATTGAATTTTGGTATTTGTTCCAATTCCAAAGAAAGGTGACCTGACAGAGTGTGGAACTTATCGAGCAATATAATTAATATCACATGCAAGCAAGATTCTGCTGAAAATTATCCAAAAACGTTTGGAACAATATGTCAACAGAGAACTGCCAGATGTGCTGGCTGGATTTAGAAGAGGTCATGGTACTAGGGATATTATAGCTAATGTTAGATGGATCTTGGCAGAAAGCAAAGAATACCATAAGAATGGCTATCTGTGCTTCAGTGACTAAGCAAAGGCTTTTAACTGTGTGGATCACAACAACCTGCGGCTGACTCTGAGAAGAATGGGAATCCCAGAACATTTGATTGTGCTAATGAGAAACCTATACTTGGACCAAGAGGCAGTCGTCAGAACAGAGCGAGGAGACACTACATGGTTCAAAATCAAGAAGGGGGTCCGTCAGGGATGTATTTTGTCTCCATACCTTTTCAATCTGTATGCAGAACAGATCATCTAGGATGCTGGGCTGTACGAGGAGAAATGTGGAATCAGGATTGGTGGTAGAGTCATCAACAACCTGTGTTAAGCAGATGATACAACCCTGTTTGCTGAAACTGAGGAGGACCTGAAGCACTTGCTGCAGAAGTCCAAGGACTTCAGCCTCCTATCTGGATTGAAGCTCAACATCAAGAAATCAAGGATTCTTTTTAAAAAAAAAATTAATTAATTTTAATGAAAGTTTACAGAGACTTAGGGTTTCCAGTCATTCACTGTTGCACTTTTCTCCCTCCCCACGCCCTCACCCCCAATTCACTCTTCTCCTTGAAAAGAAAAAGAAAAATTCATTCCTTGTTAGGCAATCCCCACCCCCCATGTCCACTCCACCATGTATTCTGGACTTAACGACAATAATACCCAATCACATCAGCATCAGCATGGATGTTGAAGAGACTGAGACAGTTAACAGTTTTAGTTTACTTGGTTCCACAGTCAACACTCTTGGTACCAGCAGCCAGGAAATCAAGAGATGAATTGCATTAGGAAAGTCAGCTGTGAAGGGCCTTTCAAGAGTACTGAAGAGCAACACCATCAGGCTGGAGACTAAGGTGTGCCTGATCCAGGCTATAGTCTTTGCAATTACATGATATGCATCAGAGAGTTGGACAGTGAATAGGGATGATAGAAAGAAAATTGATGCCTTTGAGTTGTGGTGCTGGACAAGAGTGTTGAATATACCATGGACTACTAGGAGAACAAACAGGTTTGTCCTGCTGAAGGTAAAGCCAGAATGCTCTTTGAAGTCAAGGATTCTGAAGGTTCGTCTGACATACTTTGAACATGTTGCAAGGAGGGACCAGTCCTTGGAGAGGGACATCATGTTTGGGAGAATGGAGGGACAGAAGAAGAGAGGAAGACCCTCAATGAGATGGATTGATTCAGTGATTGGAGTAATGGGAATAGGTGTGTCAGAGACAGTGAGGTTGGCACAGGAGCAGGGTTTAGGGCTCTTGCAGAACAAGCAAGAGACTCAACGACACATAACAATAACAATAACATTGAACTTGGCTGTTGTTGCCACCTTCAAATAATATCTTATTGAAGTTTTGATTTTAATTTCTCTAATAGCCCCCCCAAACCCACTGCAGTGTTAGCTATGAGTTGAGACTAGCTAATGAGGGATCTCTGCTGGGTATAGGCAATAGGGAGTTGATTGCACTGCAAACCTAAAGGTGACACCTTTTTGGTGGTTCAAATCCATCAGCAGTCTCCACAGAAGAAAGATGGTCAATCTCCTCCCATTCATTTTGCAGCCTTAGAAATTGTCCTGGAAGGTCAACTGTGAGTTGGTTCCAACTCATTGGGAATGTGTTTTAGTTTGGAATAGCTAATATCTTGAGCAGTTCTTCAATTTTGTTTGTTGATCATCTGAATGTAATCTTTTGTGAAGTATCCTTTTGTGTCACTGAAGAGATAAGTCAAAATGAGTTTGCTTCTTAATAATGCTCAAATAAAGCATACAGAATATTAAACACCCTTTTCTTTTATTTTTTTAAACCTATCATCCTTTTAGAACATTGATGCCAACAATTACCAACATGATGAGTATGGTTTTCAAAATGAGAAATACATTTTGTAAAATCATGTTGAAGCTTCAGTTATCTTCTTTTCTTACCACTTGCAAGTAAATTATTTTTCAGATTATGTTTTACTGTTGATTAAACTGTGTGCATTTAGTAAATATTAAATATTCTTGTTTAGCACCATCAAATAACCTCCTGACTGACGTGTTAAGCTTTGATACAAGCTTTTGCTTTATTTGGCTGAAAATCCCAACACAGTTCTGATGAGTTTCCTCAATTATATTTAGGCTGATTATGAAACTCAGACTGTTGCTATGAATATATCCAAGATGTGCTGAATGTGGTTTCATTAATACTTAACAGGTTGAAGAGATGGAAGCCCGGCGTCTCTTTCAGCAGATTCTCTCTGCTGTGGATTACTGTCACAGGCATATGGTTGTTCACCGAGATCTGAAACCAGAGAACGTGCTCTTGGATGCACACATGAATGCCAAGATAGCTGACTTTGGTATGCAACTCCCAGCATGCTTGAGATGTACCGGCTGCACTAGCCAGTGTGCAACAAACAACTGTTCTTTCTTTTTTAAGTAGAAAAAGCAGAAGTTTTGTTTATGTATGCTAGCATTTAAGAGACAGAAGGTATGAACTTCCCAAATCTGTTTTCAGCAAGAGAATGGTCCGATGGGATATTTGTAGGTTAGGCTAAAGGTGTGGTGACGAGCTCATGCTTATTCACGGCATTTAGGCGGGACAGGTGGGGTTCACTTTAGAAGAAGGAAGATGATGTGAATCGGGAGGCCCTTGCAGCTGGCCTCCCTGATGGCACCTTCCCGGTTTGCTATTTAGTCATGCAGGAAATGCTCTAGATTTTCTTCTTTCAAGATAATATCTCTCTGGGTAGGTGCTTGGCCATCACAGAATGTGCTCTTTCAGAATGGCTGACTTCTAGTAGGTCATGGCACTGCATGGAAAAACTGTTGTGCTGACTGCCCTTGAGTTGACTGTGACTCCTAGCTGCCCTGTGAGCCTTCCAAGTATTTCTCCATCCTCAGGGTCTCCACCACACTCAAGCCCAGTGCTGTAGCCACTGTGTTATTCCATCTTGTTGAAGGACTGCCTTTCTCTCTGACCTTCTACCTTTTCCAGCATGATGGCGTTATTCAAGGACTGTCACCTCCTTCCACCATGCCCAAAATATGTGAGGCGAAGTTTAGCCGTCCTTGCCACAAAGGAACATCCTGCTTACACTTTTCCAAAACAAACTTATTTGTTCTTTTGTCTGTCTATGGGATAGTCTTCTCCAGTGCTATAACTCAAAGACATCCACTCTTGTCATCCTTCATCATGTCCAACTTTCAGATGCATAGGAAGCAATTGAAAAGATTACGGCTTTAATCAGGCTCACCTTAGTTTTTAAACTGAGGTGTTTTAAAAAAAAATTTTTTATTAATTTCAATGAAAATTTAGAGAGACTTTGGATTTCCATTCATTCATTGTTGTACTTTTCTCCCCTCCCAGTGCTCCCCCCTAGAACACTACCCTCTTGGAAAAGTAAAAGAAAAATTCTTTCATTGTTTTACAGTCCCTCCCCCCCAGGTCCACTCTACTATACAGCCTTCACTCTGGACTCCTGTCATGGCAAAAATACCTAATAATTGTCCCTCTTAAACAGTTTTCTTCCTCTTTTGTTTCAAGTATACATTATTGAACCCTCTTCTCAGTCTCCTCCCAACCCTGAGTTCAGTCCTGCTTTATAACAGTGGCACCATGCAGTATTTGTCCTTTTGTGACTGACATATTTCACTCAGCATAATGTCCTCCAGGGTCACCCATTTTGAATAATATTGCATGAGTTCCTTGTTTTTCAGTGCAGCATAGTATTCCATTGCATGAATATACCACAGCTTCTCTATCATTTGTTTGTTGATGGGCACTTAGGTTGTTTCCAACTCTTTGCTATTATGAGCAAAGCTGCAGTAAACATGGGTGTGCATATATCTGTTTGGATATCAATTATGGCCTCTTTGGGGTATATTCCCAGTTAAACTAACGTTTTTTTCTCTTTAGCACCTTGGAGAAGTCCTTGACAGCATATTTCCCCAATGCAGCATTGTTACATGTTGTCATTGCCCTCATTAGCCTTCCTTTTCCTGACAAAGAATTGAACCAGGTGGTAGACAACTGAAGACTGACTGTAGATGAAGCCCTTGGTGTTGGCGTGGTTATAGCCTGTTCAGAAACAATATTGGCATAGGCAGGCCTTAGTTAGAACATGTGGATGAAAGGAAGGGCAAGGAGGCTAGCGTGAAGGAGAAAGCAAAGATAGGTTTATTAGGAAAGATATGTCCCAAAGACTGGGACAGGTCACTCATCTGGAACTAAAGAGGTGGAGGAAAGACACTGGGTCTCATAAGTATGCATTAATTACAGCTGGCTGGCTGCACATTTTGATGTGTTTTGGGTCTCCAGTCTGGGCCAGTGGGATTTTGTGGTGGGTGGTTCTGCTCTGTTATTTTTCACATCACTCATGCACATAAATCATTAATCAGGCTACTTCTGGGGGCAAATCAGGACTGAGGCTTCTAGGTCCAATGCTGTTAATTCCCCAGCTCTGATGGGTAGGGTCTAGCCTTAGGCATTCCATTTGATCTCTGCCTTCTATTGGCTCACATGTATCCTCATGTCCTCCTTATCTCCCCCCTTCTTCCTTATCTTATTGGCATCTATCTCTGTACTTCATCCACTTTCTTTCCATGCCTGACTTACCCAGTTATCCTGACCATAACAAGAAAACCACATCTTTTGATATCTGGACTGCTCTTAGCAGAGCTAAATGTTGTTGAGAGAGAATACTTGAGTACATCTAAGCTACTCCTGTAGGATGTGTTCCTGTGTTTTATGATGCTTAAGTTAGCTGAGTGCTGGAGTTTTTAATCTGAACACTCCCATGGAAAAAGACATCATGCAAAGAGGAAAATGAAACAGGAAAACAGAAAAGTCTGATTCTGAGCAAATCTAGCAGTGATTCAATAGATTCAAGTTTTCCCTCCTACTTACAGAAAAGTCATTTTGCTAAAAGGCCAGGAGGTCGTCCTGTTATGTTATTGAGTAGGGTTGTGACTCTCAGGTCTAGCTTATTGGGTGGGGAGGCCACCTCCAGTAAAGAATTCAATCTGATAAAGGGGTCTTCCTTCAAATTGGCTTTCTAAGTTAAGGGGATAAACACAGCTTTGCTTATCAGAGTGTGAAGGACTTGAAGCTCTTGCTGCAGAAGATCAAAGCCTTCATAAGCCTTCAATATGAATTAACATCTAAACATCTATAATGCAAAAATTCTCACCACTATACCAATAGGCAACATGAAGATGAAGACAAGATTAAAATTGGCAAAAACTTCATCTTCCTTGAAGCCACAACCAACACTCTCGATACCAGCAGTCAGGAGATCAGTAGACATGTTGCACTGGGAAGTCCCGCAATCAAGGACCTCTCCAAATTACTGAGGAGCAATGGTGTCAGCTTGATGACTAAGGTGCAAGTGATTCAGGTTATGATCTTTACAGTCTCTTCCTATGCATCTGAGAGCTGGACAGTGAATAAAGGTGAGAGAAGAATTGATGCCTGTGAACCATGATGTTGGAGAAGAGCATTGACTATCCCATGAACTACCAAAAGAACAAGTAAATATGGCTTGGAGAAAGTGCAGCCAGAATGTTCCTTGGAGGCAAAAATGATAAAGCTTTATCTAATATACTTTGGCCATATTGTTAGGAGAGTTTATTCTTTGAGGAGGGACATCGTGTTTGGAAAGGTGTTGTGTCAGCAAAAGAGAGGAAGACCCTCAGTCAGATGGATAGACACAGACTGCATCAGTGTGTTCAAGTATGTCAGAGATTGCAAGACTGACACAAAATAGGACACGGTTCAGATCTGTTGTTCTTAGGATCGCTTTGAGTCAAACTATACTTGATGGCACCTAACAACAACCACTTTCAGTTGTCTTTATAGTAAAAAAAGAGCACTTCTTCCCTTATAAAATTCTTCAAGAAGTTTTGTTTTCTTATTGATTTCTTGCCTGTTGCAATCACCCCCCCCATTTTATTCTGATTTATTTACAAAGTTTGAATACACTGTTTTTCACAAAAGATCTTTCCCATTTCCTTCACCCCACCCACCCATCAAATTGTGCAACCCTTGATTAACCCCTACCCCCACCCATCTTCACTCCTCTATTTTCTCCCTCCCCCTCCCCTTGGATCCTCATACTCATTCTGCAATAATGGTTTTATACAGTATTTGATCTTATGTAGTATTTGACTTAGGTAGTAATTTACAAAATCATTGTTTCTTTGTCCTGCGTAGTATTCCGTAGTGTGAATGTACCACAGTTTCTCAATCCATTCATTTGTGGTTGGACATCTGGGATGTTTCCATGTTCTTGCAATGGTGGATAACACTGCTATGAACATTGGTGTACAAGTTTCCATTTGAGCCTCAATCATCCCTTTTTTTTGTTATGTATTTCCATAACTTGATAAACAGGACAGTGGCTCTCACTGAATCATAGACTTAATGGAAATGGCCCTGAGGCTAATGACCCTGTTCTAGAGGACATTGATTGCTTTCAAATTCTAAAATCCTGTGGTAATGAGTAACAACTTTTATAGAGCTAAGAACTTTCTATTTCAGCACTGTAAATCTTGTACCATATAAAAGGATTAGTTGCACACTCCTGTACACACAGCAAGCATGCACATGCACAGGCAGCACACAAAAACTGTTGTTGTCAAGCTGATTCCTACTCATGGTTATCCTATATGTTACAGAAGAGAACTACTCTTGCCTGTAATCTTAATGGAAGTAGTTTGCCAGGCCTTTCCTTTGTGTTGCCACTGGGATTCAGACTGCTCATCATGGAAGCAGCCGATCAAAAACTGCATCAACAGTGTGATTTTTACTTCCATTAGTTTATACATCTAAAAAAGTTAGTAGACTCTGGTATGTTGCATCAGGATTGGAGGGAGACTTGTCAACAACTTGCTTTACGCAGATGACACAACCTTACTTGCTAAAACTGAGGAGGACTTGAAACGCTTGCTGAAGAAGGTCAAGGACTGTAGTCTTTGATATGGATGGAAGCTCAACATCAAGAAGACAAAGATTCTCACCACTGGGCCAGTGGGAGCACCATGATGGATGGAGAAGAGATTGAGGTTGTTAGCAATTACAGCTTGCTTGGCTCCACAATCAACACTCTTGGAACCAGCAGTCAGGATGTCAAAAGACAAATTGCACTGGGAAAATCTGTTGTCAGGGACCTTTCCAGAATATGGAGAAGCAGTGATGTCAGTCTAGAAACTAAGGTGTACCTGATCCCGACCATGATTTTCACAATTATATGCTGGACAATGACTAAGGATAACAGAAGAAAAATTATGCCTTTGATTTTTGATGCTGGAGAAAAGTCTTGAGCGTATCATGGACCACAAAAACAACAAGACAGTCTAGGAGAAAGTAAAACCAAATTTCTCCCTGCAGGCTAGGATTTTTAAGCTCTGCCTCACTTACTTTGGGCATGTGGTGAGGAGTGACTGGTCCTTGGAGAAGGACATCATACTCAGAAGGGTGAAAGAACATTGCAGGAGAGAAAGACCCTGGGTGAGATGGATTGGTACAGTAACTAGGGCAATGGAGGTTGGTGTGTCAGAATCAGTGAGACTGGCTCAGACAGGACAGGTTTCAGAGCTGCTGTGCATAGGTCACTATGAGTCACAAGTGACTTGACGGCACTTAACACCAACAGTCAAAATAAATCAGTTCAATCCACATTTCCTTCTTAAATAAAAGTAACTCTTCACTTCCTTTTGTGGTGAGAGTCACAGATACCTTTCGAAATCTGATGAAAGTATGTTCACTCTCTTTGATAAGTTCATACAAACACATGTACTTAAAATTTTTCTTGGCATTTTTGAGCTTTATAATCCTTCTCAATCAACCTATGGGCAAACTTTATGTCAGAAGAAGAAGAAAATATTAATTTTCATTTTTATGCAAACATTTTGCTAAGTACCAGTGCCTTAGATGAGTGTATTAGTAAGTTGTTTGAAGAGATTAGGAAGTGAAGGGCTATAGAAACAGAGATGAGAAAGTATAAAGTTTATTACTACTTACTTAACAATTTTTGCCTATACCTTGTCTTTGATTAAAAAAAAAAGAACTCTCGTTTCTCTGTCTTCCATCTGTAAATTATGAAGTCCACTGCTGGAAGGCCAATTCCAATTTAACCTCCAATGGGATTCCCAGGTTATAAATTTTCACAAAAGAATGCCTGTCTTTCTCCCAGGGACAACCTGTCCATTTGAACCAATAACCTTTCCCTTAACAGTGCAACATGTAACACAATATGCCACCAGACTTCTTATTTAATATTAAAATTAAATTACTTTTTATTATTGTAGATTTGAGTGTGTGTTGAATTCTTGCTGTAATTGAGTTGAGTCTGACTCCTAGCGACCTTCTCTCTATCATATTTCCAAGGCAGTAAAACATAATGGAAAGAGACTACACACCATACTTCTGAGGAGCAGGTAGTAGATTCAAACTGCCAACCTTTTGGTTACCAGTATGACATGCTGTATTCACTATGCCACTACAGCTCTTGGTATAGTGAATTAAAACTACCCAAATTAAAATATTTTACATTATCTCATTCTAAAGTGGAGCCTATCTGGTCTCTAGAACCTGAATTTTTTTTAAAAGCTTTTTAAGTGTAGTGCAAAAAAAAAAAAGCAGTAGTTTCTCTTATTTTAATTATGGAAGTAGGTAAATCATCTTTTGGTGCTCTAATTTTTTGGTAAAGCAATTACAATTTAGAATAATCTTTTATTTATAAATTGGATCAATGTTTATGTTTAGAAAGCGAATCTACTTACAGCTCTATCTGTGAGATACTTTAGCTAGTTTGTCATAGCATAAATGTTTTGAAATTCTCTTTTAGTGTAATTTAGCAACTGCTTCCAACTGCTCCAACTGCTGTTTTTAAGAATTTTTTTTTAAAAAAAATTTATGTATTGAGGTGAACTTCTCTGACCTGTCCTGCAAGCCTGTCTCCCCCACCCCTACCCCTGGGTCAGAGAACCACCTCAGAGAGACATAGAGCCACAATAAAAGCTTCTGTGCTTAAAAAATAAATAAATTATGTATTGAGGAACATTAAAAATTTTGTCTTTTTCCCATGTATCTATCTATATATATCTACTTGTAAAGCCTCACCAAAAATTTGCTATATTTTCAGGATTATCTAATATGATGTCAGATGGTGAATTTCTGCGAACCAGCTGTGGGTCCCCTAATTATGCAGCACCTGAAGTCATCTCGGGCAGGTAATAGTACATCAGCCAAGAGTGCAAACTTTTCTGGTAATCCTGTATTCACTCTGGTAGCATTAAATTATAATAGATTCTCTATAGAAGATAAGGTTTTTAACATAGCTGAAACAAATTGTTCCTTCATTGTTTTCCCCCCTATTATTGGCAGAGACAGATTGGCTTATTGAAAAAAAATTTGAAAGCATTTTATTGTGCTATAAATATATTTAAGGGGTTTTCCCACGGTTAAACATTTTGACTTAACATCTTTTTCGTTTTAGAACGGTACAGATAAGAAGCCAGTGTTTGTTACATTTAAGCTAATATTATTTTTTTTACTTCTCAGACACAGTCCTTTAATGATACCGTTAATATTCCTATATGAATTGTATAGAGTATTGCTTATATTTTGTGTTTAGAAGATTGAAATTTTTTTTTTTTTTAAGTAACGTTATTTTGGGAAAGTAAGCTGTTCAGTTGAAGATTGTGTAATTCCTTATGCAATTTATTCATTTTTACATCTTTGATTTATTTTTTGTCCTCTTGAACATTTTATTTGCAATAACATATTTCAGTCATTCTGTTTTAATGGCAAGAACATACTCCTTTTTTCTTATTTTTTTAGGAAAGTTTTGTTTTAAGCAGTCAACTTATTTCAGAAGTACTTACTTAAATTAATCTAATGAATACAAGTTTTATAATGAAATTCCCACCTAAAACTTTGTAATATCTTTCTCAGGATGACAGTAACATTGCTAAAATAGTGTGTTTTGAGTACTGCGGAGTAAGGACAGACCCATATAGCTGGCCCTTGGGGAGGGGATGGGAAGGGCAGGATTTTCTGGGACAGTTGGCAGTTCTTTACTCTGGAGAAGATTGCCCATTCTTCTGTGTGAGCAGCTGTTAAATTCGAACTGTGTGCCTTTGGGATGATTGCTAAACAGTTTAGGAAATCCTGATTTTTTGGTACTCTCTAAAGTATGATAGAAATATTATACTTTGTATTTGTTTTTCAAATGATGGAAAGGTTTATAAACAGAATCCATAGTAGAGATAACGGGGATGGGAGGGAAGGACAGGGGATAAAAGTTACTAGATACTTGAATGAAGGGAAAGGCAGTACACAATAAGGGTTGAGTTCACTTACTCACTGCTGTCAAGTTGGGCCCAACCAATAGCTGAGCCTCCAGCAAGTGTTCAGAGGCTGTGAACTGCATGTGGGGAGAGTACCAGTCTTTATTCTTCAGAGCTGCTAGTGCATTAGAACAGGACACCTGGAGTTTAGCAGCATAATTCTCTAGAATGCCCTTAGGAAGGACTGATTGTTGTTGTTGTTGTTATGTGCCGTCGAGTCACTTGCGACTCATAGCAACCCTATGTACAACAGCCCTAAATTCTGCTCTGTCCTGTGCCAGTCACACCATCTCCGATACACCCATCCCAATTGCCCCAGTCACTGAATCAGTCCACCTCAGAGAGGGCCTTCTCCACCTGCACTTCCCTCCACCCTACCTGATGTCCCTCTCAAAGGACCTGTCCCTCCTTACAACATGTCCAAAGTATGTTAGACAGAGCCTCAGAATCCTTGCCTCCAAGGAGCCACCCGGTTTGACCCTTTCTAGGATGAATCTGTTTGTTTTCCTAGCAGTCCATGGTACCCTCAATACTCTTCTCCAGCACCACAGCTCAAAGGCATCAATTCTCCTTCTGTCCTCCTTGGTCATTGTCCAACTCTCTGATGCATAACAAATGATTGCAAAGACCATGGCCTGTATTGCATGCACCTTAGTCTCCAGAGAGACACCATTGCTCTTCAGTACTTTGGAGAGGTCTCTAACAGCAGACTTTCCCATCGCAATACGTCTTTTGATTTCCTGGCTACTGGTACTGAGAGTGTTGACTGTGGAGCCAAGCAAACTAAAGCTGTGAACAATCTCAATCACTTCACCATCCATCCTGATGCCGCCAATTGGCCCAGTAGTGAGAATCTTTGTCTTCTTGATATTGAGCCTCAATCCATATTGGAGGCTGCAGTCCTTTGAGCCTTTGCAGCAAGCATTTCAGGTCCTCCTCACTTTCCACAAGCAGGGTTGTGTCATCTGCATATCGCAGATTATTGATAAATCGTCCACCAATCTTGACCCCACATTCTTCCTCATAGAGCCCAGCCTCCTGGATAATCTGTTCTGCATACAGGTTGAAAGGGTATGGAGACAGGACACATCCCTGGCGCATGCCCTTCCCAATTTTGAAACATGCAGTGTTTCCTTGCTCTGTTCTGATAACTGCCTCTTGGTCCAAGTATAGGTTTCTCATTAGCACGATCAAGTGTTCTAGGTTTCCCATCCTTCTGAGAGTCAGCCACAGTTTGTTATGATCCACACAGTCAAACACTTTTGCATAGTCAATGAAACACAGATATACAGTCCTCTGGTATTCCCTGCTTTCAGCCAAGATCCATCTAACATTAGCTCCAATATTCCTAGTACCAAGACATCATAAAAAAGCAGTCAAAATCAATTAATGTTATAAAAAGTAATGTCTGTGAGTGAGTATAGGAAAATCTATTATGACTTATAAACTATCACTAAGAAAACAAATTTATAAAATGAATTTTCTATTTCCTATGAATGTTGTTGTTGTTGTGTATTATGTGAGTCCCTTGCGACTCATTAACGACCCTATGTACAAGAGCCCAAAATACCGTTCTATCCTGTGCCAACCTTGACGTCTCAGACATACTCATTCCCACCACTCCACTCACAGAATCGATCCATCTCATTAAGGATATTCCTTTTCTTCGATGCCCCTCCACTCTGCCAGATATGATGTCCCTCTCCAAGGACCAGTCCCACCTTGAAGCATGCCCAGAGTATGTCAGACGAAGCCTCAGAATCCTTGACTCCAAGGAGCATTTCGGCTTCACCTTCTCCAGGACAAACCTGTTTGTTCTCCTAGCAGTCCATGATATTTTCAACATTCTTCTCCAGCACCACTGCTCAAAGACATCAATTCTCTTTCTATCATCCCTATTAACTGTCCAACTCTCCGATGCAAATCATGTAATTGCAAAGACTATAGCCTGGATCAGGAACACCTTAGTCTCCAGCCTGATGGCGTTGCTCTTCAGTACTCTTGAAAGGCCCTTCACAGCTGACTTTCCCAATGCAGTTCGTCTCTTGATTTCCTGGCTGCTGGTACCAAGAGTGTTGACTGTGGAACCAAGTAAACTAAAACTGTTAACTGTCTCAGTCTCTTCACCATCCATGCTGATGCTGCCAATTGGCCCAGTGGTGAGAATCTTTGTTTTCTTGCTGTTGAGCTTCAATCCAGATAGGAGGCTGAAGTCCTTGGCCTTCTGCAGCAAG